AGAAAGTGAACTTCATAATTAGGCACACAACAAATGATTGTTCTCTAAACAAGGTGAGAACTCAATTAGGCACAACTCAATGTTAATTGTTCTCTAAACAAGGTGAGAACTCAATTAGGCACAACTCAATGTTACTATCTCTCACAACCCCAAATGTATTATGAATGCAAATACAATAAGCTCAAGTGAGTGTGAGTAACAATGAGATTAATCAAATCTAAACTCAATATAAAACTAGCTTTAATAAGATGATAAACAAACAAATTGTGTGTGTGTGTGTGTGTGTGTGTGTGTGTGTGTGTGTGTGTGTGTGTGTGTGTATATATATAAACAAAGCTTGTGTTGTATATATATATAACTATATATATACAAGGAAACCAATATAATGTGTGTGTATATATGATTGAGCTTAAAGTACCAACACACATAATATAAACATAAACTAATGTTACCAAAGCTTGATCTTGATCTTCAATAAGCTTGACTTGGTACACATTGCGGATGAAGCTAGAACTTGGATCTTCAACTTGAATTGCATAGGCTTCAACCACTATCCCACCAACCTCCATTTGATATGATCGATATGACGCAATCCATCCATCCTCTAACTTATTATTTGTCTACAACAACTACAAAACTACAAACACTAGACAAATAATATTAGTTGTAAATTGTTTGTAAATCATCATCAAAACAAGAAGGCCAACACCAGCATCCTTAGGATCATTCCTGTATCAAGTTGTGGAACTAGGATAGAGTTTTTTAGAATTCAAGTATAGGGTCCGCTAGGATGTCTAGAATGAGTGAGGATGTTATATACATATATTCCAAAATTTACGAATTTTTTTATGACTATCTTACTTTGATTAAAAAAAATAATTACGTGAATGATATATGATATGATTTTCCTAATGTTATATGTTATGTTATGTATGTTTGTGAAGCTCTCCTCTTGGTATTATAAATACCAGGACGAGGACGTGGTCGAGGTAAAACTCGTACACGGAGAGCTGGGCAAGTAGAGCCCGAGCCATAGCATGCTCCATAGTATTTGATTGACTTGATAACGCCGATTGTAGAGGTAGAGACTAGTAACTCTCGAGGGGCGAGTAACGAGCCAAATTACACTTTCTGTAGTTCCACCACTAGTCATACCAGTCATACCTATTGAAGAGATAATACCGACGATTACACCATCACCACAACCAGTTGTTAATAGAACCACCGAGCAGGAAGCTTGTCTCTGTAAGAATGAGAAGGATATCAGAAGATGAGAGCACCAGAGTTTTAGGGCACATAGGATTCAATTGCAGCTTATAAATGGAAGGAATATGTGGGAATTATTTTTAGATATGCTGAATGTCAACTCAGTACATAAGCAGAGATTAGTTATATTCAGCGTAGAGGATAGCACCAGAGGATGCCACCGACTTTAGATTTTCTCTGTAGCAGCGAATACCACTTATCTGGAAAAATTTTGTTTACTTCTTTGACAAGCAGTAGAGCTAGTTCGATTAAAGTGGGGAGATATTCCTGTAGTTAATTATGGAATTATGACCAGCATAGTGATAATAGTAAGGGTAAGAAACCTATTGCGGAATCTAGAGAACCCTAGTAGTGGGGCAATGATTTATTACAAGTTACAAAGATAATATAAGAAGTGAGCATAACATGACTTAAGAGGGCTGCAATAGCGCAGAATTTAGGGTGCATATTACAACTGCAATAAGATCAACCATAAGGCCAGGGATTATCGTAGTGCACCAGCAGGGCAGAGGCCAGGGCCAATGGCAGGGAGGAGGATACGCTCTATAGTAGAACCGTGGTTTCAGGGCCGCGACCACGGCCAGCAGCAACAGAAGTTGAGGATATAGGCACCACCTACCATTCCAAGGATTAAAAGGCCAGCAGGCCAGATTCAAGCCATCCAAGAGATTTCTCAGGGATAGATAGTTCCATACATTCCTCCGCCTGTAGTACAGCAGTCGTCAGTCACTGGCAAAGTGTATACGGTCATACCACGTGACCATGGTGCGAGTGGAGCCATTATGGAAAGTACTTTCTTGGTGAATTCTTTTCCAGCTCGAATCTTATTCGATTCAAGAGCTTCGCATTCCTTTATATCTTATACATTTATGGATAGCCTTCAGTTAGTTACACTATCTCTTAGACGTTCTGTTATCTATATCTACTCCTTTAGGGGAGGTATCCCTATTGGAGAGTATCTGTAGAGATGTGTCATCAGTCTAGATGAGTCCGAGTTTATCATGGATCTTATCGTCTTGTGGATGTCGGAGTTCGACGTCATTCTTAGTATAGATTAGCTATCATCGTACCATGTCAATATCGACTGTTTTACTAAAACAGTCAGCTTGCGGGCGTCCGATGGGTCTAAGTTAATAGTAGCGACCTCACAGGGTAACCAGTTTGTGGAGTCATTTCTGGCGTACATCGAGGAGATGATGCTGTGGGATAGTAGTGCCGATTTGAGTGAGACTCATGTGGTCTCAGATTATTAGGATATCTTTCAAGACATATCGGGTTTACCTCCAGTGAGAGAGGTAGAGTTTTGCATAGAGTTGTAGCCAGGCACAACACCTATATCCCGAGCATCCTATCGTATGGCACCTGTTGAGATGAGGGAGCTACAGACTCAGTTCGATCAGCTTTTGTCTCAAGGTTTTTTTTTGCCAGAGTCATTCTCCGTGGGGAGCACCGGTCCTTTTCGTGAAGAAGAAGGACGACAACATGTGCTTGTGTATAGATTATTGCAATTTGAACAAAGTCACCATTCGAAACAGGTATTCACTACCGAGAATTGATAACTTGTTTGACCAATTACAGGGGGCGTAGTGTTTCTCAAAGATAGATCTTTGTTCCGGTTATCATTAGATACGAGTCCAGGAGATGGATATTCCTAAGACCGCCTTTCTAACTCGGTTTGGGTCTTTAGAATTTCTGGTCATGCCATTTGGGTTGACCAATGCACCCACGATATTTATGGATTTGATGAATCGGGGTTTTCATCCTTATTTGGACAAGTTCGTGATCGTATTCATCGATGACCTCCTTATCCATTCAAAATCAGAGGTAGAGCATGAGTAGGATCTTCATTTAGCATTGCAGATCTTGCAGGAGGATTAGTTATATACCAAGTTTAGCAAATGCGAGTTTTGGCTTTCTAAAGTCATATTTTTGGGTCATGTCATGTGCAAAGAGGGCATAGCAGTAGATCCCACTAAGGTTGAGACTGTACTAGATTGGGAGCCACCAAAGACCACTTCAGAGATTCGCAGTTTCTTAGGTTTGGCCGGCTATTACAGGAAGTTCATTCAGAACTTCTGAAAGATTGCGATGCTACTTACATGCCTTACAAAGAAGTGTGTATAGTTTGTTAGGGGCATGGAGTGCCAAGAGGCCTTTGAGACCTTGAAGGCTAAGTCAACTTTAGCGCCGGTATTGATCATTCCGAGTAGTGTTAGGACCTTCTTGGTCTATACTGATGTGTCATTATCGGGTCTAGAAGGTGTTTTGATGCAGACCCAGAGAGTAGTGGCATACATTTCAAGGCAATTGAGGACTCATGAACGGAATTATCCCACTCATGATTTGGAACTAGCAGCAGTGGTCTTCGCACTGAAGATGTGGAGACACTATTTATACAGAGTGTAGTTTGAGCTATTTACGGACCATCAGAGTTTGAAATACCTTTTCGCTCAGAAGGAGCTAAATCAGAGACAGCAACGATGGGTTGAGTTTATCAAAAAATATGAGTTTGCGATTCAGTACCATACGGAGAAGGCGAATGTTGTAACAGACACAATGAGCAGGAAGCATCGACATCGGATTGCGGCTTTGAGTTGCTCGTTATATCAATATCTTCACACCCTTAGCCAGTTTAATTTCAGACAGGAAATCGGGGGGAGCAGCGTATTTCTAAGAGTATTATCTGTATAGCCATCTTGGAGTGGTAGAGTGGTCAGAGCTCTGCTAGAGGACTCTTAGGTTCAAACCCAAAAGGGGGAGATTTCCAAAGAGCAAAAGGCTGATTAGACCGTTGGAGTAGATGGAGGATTTCGAATGAAGGGCTGGTTAGTGATGCCGAGTGATCCGTAGTTGAAGAAGGACTTATTTGACGAGGCGCATCGTACCAGATACACAGTGCATCCAGACACAATAAAAATATACAAAGACCTGAAGAGACATTTTTGGTAGAGCGACATGCGTAGGAAGATGGCAGAGTATGTGACTAAGTTCTTTACCTGCCAGTAAATGAAGGCAGAACATCAGAGACCGACAAGAACCATACATCCTTTACCCATTCCGGAGTGGAAGTGGGCAGATATTTCTATAGATTTTATTGTAGGATTGGCCGATGCCAAAGAAGGGAAACGGTTTAGTTTGGGTAATAGTTGATCGGTTGATAAAGTCAGCACATTTCATTTCGTTGAAGATGACGTACACGGCAGAGACGTATGCGAGGATATTCATCCAGGAGATAGTGAGATTACATGAAGTTCCAGAGACAATTATATCAGACCGATGCTCGATTTTACTTTGTATTTCTGGAGGATCTTTCAGGATTCTTTCAGTAGCTAGTTGTCGTATTCTAGTGGTTTCTACAGGCAGACAGATGGACAAATGGAGAGAGTCAACCAAGTGTTAGAGGATATGTTGTGGGCATGTGTCATAGATTTTCAGGGCAGCTGGGAGGACCACATCCCATTGATCGAATTCGCTTATAACAACAGTTATCAAGCGACTATTGACATGGCACCGTATGAGGCATTATATGGGAGGCCTTGTAGATCACCAATTTGTTGGGCAGAGCCAGAGATCAGTCTACAGCTTGGACCGGAGTTAGTGAGACAAACCACAGAGAAGGTAACAGTGATTTGGGAGGGCATTCAGCGTAGAATCATCAGAAGAGTTATGTAGATCAAAGACGACGGCCATTAGAGTTTCAGATTAGGGACTATGTCATGTTAAAAGTGTCACCGATGAAGGGAATTCAGTGTTTTGGTAGACAGGGAAGGATTACCCCGAAGTATATTGGCCCGTTCAGGATAATGGAGCGCGTTGGAGCCGTTTTATATCGACCAGCATCGATGCCAAGTATACACGATGTCTTCCATGTTTCAATGCTTATTAAGCATCTACGTGATGAGTTGAAGCAGCGAGTGTTAGACACGCTAGAGGTTGAGATTCTTGATGATATGACTATTATTACAATTCCTGTGTGTATTCTTGCCAAGGAGGACAAGAGACTTAGAATCAAAGTGATATCTTTAGTTAAAGTTCAATGGAATCAGAAAGGAGCTGAGGAAGTTTCTTGGGGCACGATGAGGATATGCATCGTGACGACTTGTAACTATTTACTTGCACCTTTGAGCAAGTAAATTGTTTAGAAATAGTTTGTCTATGTTTATGATTATCTATATGCTCATATCTATACTTAACGCTAGAATGGTGGTATTAGCACTAGAGCGATGGTCTTGATTGGTGGCTAGTGACTATAAGTCACTTCAGATATTCACGTGTTGTCACGCCCCGCTTCCCAAAATACCCGGGAATCGGAACGTGAACAAGCCCGCGACATATTAGATTGAGAAGAAATATACACTATCATTTTTTTTTCTTTTTCCTTTCTTCTCAATCCAATATGTTAAGCGTCTGGAAATAAATACAATGCGAAGTCACAGGTCCCCGATCACAGATAGCAAGAATATAATAGACAAACTCAGAATAAAATAATACATATCACAAATGAATACTCATCACAGACATAATATTCGAGTCAACATGTCCTTATACAAAACTATCTGAATGAAATACTAGAGAATATAAAAATACACTGATCAAAAGGAAATGAAGGTGATACAAAACAACTAAAAGGAAATGACTAAGCTTCTGCTTCTTTTTCTGCTACGTCTGCAAGGCACTCATGCTGAGAATCTCCCTGCTGAACCTGTTCTTCTCCTAAGTCTGACGTACACCAGAGAAAACAGGTGTACGTCAGGTGCATGGCGCACGGCAAGACCCGACCCCACAAAGAAAATAGAACGAACGAAAATCCAATGCGAAAAACGATACGATAACAGAAACAACAAAAGAACATACAACTGAAATCCACAAATCAACAAGAAAACACTACTAAATCATGATAACATAAAGCATCCAGAATTGATCAGGTAACGAGATCATGTAGCTAGCGATCAGACTAATCATCCAAGTCACAAGGGCATACACTAGATGGAATTAATACTTAAAAATCTACAACTCGAGACGTAGTACGTCGAGCGAAATAATCCAAACAAGGAAACCCTCATATATATACTATATGTCTCGAATTGTAAATAATTAAATATTAATCACGATCTATGTATGAAAAAAACAACACTGGTCTACCTCTCACAAGCATCCATGCTATATTCTCCGTCCAATCCCCCTTTATAACCCCATGTTATCAAATTAATTAAGCAACTGTACATAAAATATTGTGAACTAGCCACGGAGTTACCGTGGAACGACTTCTATAAAACTATGAACATAACCGTGACCCACAACACGTCCGATCAAGAGTGCATCGTCTAGTCAATGCTATAATAATAATAATAATCAAGGAAACCTCATACCGGGATATCGATATCGAGGGAACTCGGGACTCCTCACATCGGGATATCGATGTCGAGCGAGTATAGCCATGCTTTGAAGCACGCTTATAAATCATACTTTTAACAGAAGTCGTCTTCATGTACAGTCTCTCCTATTGGGTAACAACTAAGTGATAACACAACAAGTTTCCACACAGCTATTCATGTCAAGCAATCCCATGCAGGTAATAATATATCACAGACTAATCTAATTAACCAATTACCAACAGATATAAATATTGAAATGACAAATCAATAAGTAATGGGATCTTGCCTCGGGGTTCGTCGAATGATTCGACATCGACGGCACGGGTCTGATCTGAGCGCGGGTGGAACGATGCGGTTGTAGGGGACGGCCAATGACCGGGTTGCAGCGCTTGACCATGGTAAGCTCGACGACTGCGGGCGCCCTGCGCCATGGGGTGTGTGATGAGTGGAGGTGGAGATGAGGGGCCGGATCTGCGGTGCGTTGCTGGCCGAGCGCCTGGAGGCTGACCGCGAGTTCTGAGGGCTGTGTTTGCGGCTGCCTGCGTGATCGCGGGGGAGTCCTCTAGAGTCGAAGGAGGCGCACCGGCAAGTGGCTGGGCGTTGAGGTCGAAGATGGGGAGAAGGCAGTAGCCGGCAGGTGCGTGTTCGAGCGGGGCCTGCAGCGACGGTCGGATCGCGCGCTGGTGATCGACAGTGGTGGAGCGCTGGCGGATTGCTCGCAGGCGTGGGCGAGTTGGGCGCGGACTAGGCTGGCCGTCGGGCGGTTCCGAGCGGGAGGCAGACGCAAGCGTAAGCTGCGGAGGGGCGATGGCCGGTTCAGGCGGGTGTGGCGTCGAAGCCTCTGGCTGTTGCACGGTGACTGACTGCGGTTCAAGGAGGGTGGCCTCGGCTCATGAGGCTGGAAGCGGCATGACGCGGCGGCGAGCATGCAACAGCAGTGGCGTTCGGGGGGGAGCCGCAAGATCGGGCATCGTCGGGAGATAGCCCAGGCGGCGACGAGGTCGGGTGAGAAGCAGCAGCTTGGTGTCGAAGTTCGCGGTGGTTGGCGGGGTTTGTCGGAGGAGAACGAGAGGGAGAGAGAGATGAGATGTTGGCGGTGGCGTTGAAACACAGGGAAGAGAGAGGAGAGAGATATATAATATATATATGTATATATATATTATATTAGGTTTAGGGTTTAGGGAATTAACCAAAAATAATTAAAATAAAATAATTACGGGTACTTAAAAATTAAAATAATTACAGAATAATTATTTACAAATAAAAACGTACATGTTAAGTTATTACAATAGTTAATACGAAATAGTTAAAATATACACATATTGTACAATTAAACTAGAATAATTAATAAATAAAATATATTTACTTATTTTTTAAAATCAAACAATTATACGATAATTATATATACAGTAAAATGTACAAGTTATACTAATACGACAGATAATATGTAACAGTAGAAATATTACAGCAAATTGTACAAATAATATGTAATTAATTATACAACGTATTATACGAAATTATACATAATAATAAAAATAATACAATGTATTATTCAAAATAACATGTAACAGTATCGATAGCGCAACAGATAAATTCCAGAAATTTTCACTGCACAAAATTAATTTATAAATATTAAAATCATTTAAATAAATATAAAACTTGGATTTAAAATTAATTTATAAATATTAAAATCATTTAAATAAATATAAAACTTGGATTTTAAATCATAGAAAATTCTAGAAAATCAAGAAAAATATTTAAATAAATATAAAACTTGGATTTTAAATCATAGAAAATTCTAGAAAATCAAGAAAAATATAAATACTTTTTTAAAAATCATAATTAATTACTTTAAAATACTAAAAAATTATTTTAACTAGTATTAAATTCCATGGTCATTACACATGTCCTGCTTATTATCATGTCAATAATGTAAAATTGAATCCGAAGGCGAGGAAAGTTGTTTTTGTGTGATTTAGAGAAGATGTAAAAGGCTTCAAGTTATGAGATCCACAAGACAAGAAGATAGTCATTAGCAGAGATGTCACATTTGATGCGGCGTACATGATGAGGCCTCAAGTTCCTTAGCAGGTAGAGGAAGACAAGAGCAGTGAGATATCATAGTAGGTGAAGGATGATGTGACTCCACCTACTCTAGATAGCATTTGTATCCATTAAGGCTCCTACATAGGTGACACTGGAAGAAGATGAGATGATAGTCGAGCATATAGAGGATACAATGGTTGGTGAGACTCAGGAGTAGGGTTATGTTCAGAAGTCCATTATAGCAAATAGACCTAGAAGGGTGATTCGTCGGCCAGCTAGATACAATGATGTCATGGTTGCATATGCTTTATCAGTAGAGGTCGTTAATGATATGGTTCCTTCTACATTTAGGGAGACAGAGTTTAGCTCTGATTCGATTAGGTGGAGGGAAGCTATGAAGGAGGAGATGAGGTCTCTTCAGAAGAACGACACTTGGGAAGTTGCAAGTAGGTATATGCAAAGAAAAAGAGATCTTCTATTAGGGACATTAGGTACAAAGTCAGATTGGTTGCCAAGGGATATGCACAGCTTGAGAGTGTTAATTACAATAAGGTATTTTTACCCGTTGTGAAGTATTCGTTGATTCTGATTTTATTAGCATTGGTGGCACAGCTGGATTTAGATTTGATCCAGATGGATATTAAGACAGCCTTTCTATACGGATATTTAGATGAGGAGATCTACATGACACAATCCTTGGGCTTCAAAACTGTAGGAAAAGAGGATTTTAGGGCAAACTGAAGAAGTCTCTTTATTGATTGAAGCAATTGCCGCGACAATAGTACAAGAGATTTGACAGTTTTATGATTGGCCAATGATACACGAGGAGCCCATATGATATATGTGTTTACATGCATAAGCTATAAGATGGTGAATAAATTTATTTGTTGTTATATGTTGATGATATGCTTATTGCTCTCAGGAATTCTTCGGCTATTCGAAAGTTAAAAAAGGAGTCGTCATCCGAGTTTGAGATGAAGGATCTTGGAGAAGTTAAGAAGATATTGGGTATGGAGATCGAGAGAGACAGGGTGAAGGGGAGATAAAAGCTTACACAGAGGAGCTACTTGCAGAAGATGTTGAAGAAATTCAGCTTTGATGGCAATGCTAAGGCAGTAAGCACTCCATTAGCTTCCCACTTCAAGCTTTTAGCGAAGAAGTCACCTGTTTCAGCTGAGGACAGAGAATACATGTCAAAGGTTCCATATGTCAGTACGGTGGGTAGCTTGATGTATGCTATGATGTGTACGAGGCCAGATTTATCACAGGCCGTGAGCATGATATCCAGGTACATGCACGACCCCGGGAAGGGTTATTAGGAGGTCGTGAAGTATTATACGGCATGTTAAAGGCATCATGGATGTTATTTTGATTTTTCAAAATAATGAAAAGAATGGGCAAGATTGCATTGGTTATGTGGATTTAGATTATGCTAGGAATCTTGACAAGCGCCTGTCTACTTCAGGATATGATTTTACTTTGGCAGGAGCATCGGTTTGTTGGAGATGTACACTTTAGTCTACAATGGATCTCTCTACTACAGAGGCGGAGTATATGGCGGTGACTGAAGCTGTTAAGGAGGCTTTTGTGGTCGCATGAATTGTTGGAGGACTTGGGGAGTGCACAGGAGACCATTCGGGTATATTGTAATAGCATGTTGACTATCGATTTAGCAAAGAACCGGGTTTATCATGCACGGACGAAGCATATTG